ACACACACACACACACACACACACACACACACACACACACACACACACACACTTCACTTTTTTGTTGATGTAATACTAAGATAATGAAAAAATTAATTGACTGAGATTTTATTGAGCTGTGACAGCTCATCATAGAAGTCTTCACACACACCTCCACACTGAATTAATGAATGCAGTAGAAATTCAATTATCTGCATTCTGATTATGTGAATTTCATTTAGTCAGACTTGAATTATTCGCGTTTAAATTATCTTGCTAAAAAAAATATCCAACTGCACTCCAAATGGCTAATTAAAAGTCCAAATTTCCTGTCTCTCTTTGTGACTGGAGATAATTAAAGTTCTCCTCTGTTACTCAGGCTTTGAGTGTGTTGTGAAAACCAATTTCCTTTCTTTATTTTTTTTCTCCCCTTCTCTGTAGTTCATCCTCCGGGCTTGGACACAGTAGTGATGACAGCATTTCACATGGATGTAAAGCAAGCACAGTCCCTGAAGAATCCTGAAAAATCACTTGTATATTGCCATCCTAAGACCCGCAAAATAATTTTCTCTCTCAATTTTCAAACCATAGCTTTGAAACTGTTTCTTTGTTTGTTGCTTTTATTAAATTGCACTGATTTATTTTTACATGTTGCCTATTACATTTAGGTTTATGCAGCCATTAAAATCTTGACAAATATTAGGCTAGTGGTGCTCTATTGCCAAGTATGGCTGATAAAATATTTCCCTGGGTGACGATGTATTTTAGATCTTAAAAAATAAAGGTATTTTACATTAGTTTAAAAGTGATGTATCAAATTAAAATATACTCAAAGCAATTTTGTGTACTTTATACCAGAGAAGTTTCACTCTAACCAGTTGTGTGACATTGGTAATGAAGTTATATAGACCAGAGGGTATTAACTTTTAAAAATAGCATGGTGACTTAAGGAAAACAGAATCTGTACTATTTGTTGCTGACAATTGGAGATATAGACTATCTTCCCTCAGCCTTTCTCCAATGTTTATGGGAAAACTTGCTCTTATCATGCACAAGAGCCAGAGGCCAACATTTTCAAACATAGATGCCTAAAGTTAGGCACATAAATGTGACATGATTTTCAAGGGGTGCTGAAAACCTTCAGCTCTCATGGAAGGTAGTGGGAGTTATGGTTGCTCCCTCCCTGTGAAAATCATGTGTAAAATCTGGCCCCACTGAAGTCAATGGGCATTTTGCACTGACTTCGACAGGGCCAACATTTCACTCTAGGTATCTAACTTTAGGGACCTATGTTTGAAAATGTTAGCTAAGTGTTCTAGGTTAACATTTTAAATGAAGTGAAACTGTCTTTCCGAAAGGATGATAGTCACATAGATATAACACGTTGTTCGAATATAGAATTCTAAGCTGTTGGGTACAAACTGAAATAACTGGAGTTATTAATTTCACTTTTACTGTAGTAAACACATTGAAATATTGACTTTTTCACAAATGGCAGGCTTGAACACAACTTTTTAACCACAAACATTTGTTATAATCTACTTTTGCTCTTTATAGCAGCAACTAGGAGTTAACTTGTCCCAGAGCCTGTCAATAGAAAATGTTTCAATGTTTATTTATATTTGACGTTTAACTGCTATTAAAGACAAGGCAGTGGGTCTGATCCTGTTCCCATTGAAATAATGGCAAAACTCCTCTGGATTTCAGTGCTGCAAGTTCAGGTCCAGTATGGATTTTGTCTCTGACAAAGATACAGTAGTTAGTATCTTTTAACCTGTGACTTACACAGAAACAATATATAATTAATTGGCCAGCTAATAAAAGTTAGTGTGGATGTGTTTTTAAAGCATCCAGCTGGGAACCTGTTTAGTTTTAGAAAGGTGTGTCTTAAGAGCTTGAGGATAACATCTCATCTTTTAGGTAAATACTCTGAACCAATTTTCTCATCATGGTAGCACTTTCATAAGATAAATATCTGTTTCTTTTGCTCAGTTTTGTTGAATTGCACAAATATATCTAGTCACCATCTCTGCTTGTGTGTAGAAGGATCAACAAAATATTTTCATATAACAGCACTAACATTAATTAAAGCAACAAGTTATCATGGCAAGATAGCTTCTATTGCAAAGTGCAGACTTTTTTTTTTTGGAAGATGTTGCCTCATTGATAGACTTATTATTTAGCGCAAAGCTGCCCATAACATCAGCGAAGAAATCTTGAAATGAACAAAAACTGAGAACTAGAATATTTTTTTAGAGAAGGGAATTAATTATCATTTTGTTTACCATACTATTGTTTTCTTTTGTTGGTTTTTTTTTAATGTTGAGCTAGATCATTGAATGCACTTTACACTTTGTGGCCTGCTAACACATATCCTGACTGTGTTTAAATGTAAGAGTTGGAGAACCTTTGTGACTACTTATTATAATTCAGGGATCTTGTCTTTTGTGTATTAAGGAGATTTTTGCAAAGCAGCCTGTTTCAGTGATAAATACTTGGGATTCATAATAATTGTATTGTTATTAACTTTATCACACTCTTCACAAGTTATATCTGTGCTGTAAAATCTGTTCCATTACCTTCTTCCTATCCTGCATGGAAATTTATTTAAAATGTTACTCTTTTGAGTTCTCTGTATACCTAGTATTAGTGAAAACGTTCGTGTTAAATGATAATGAAGAATATTCTGTTCTAGGGTTTATTTACCAAGAAAAAACAATCGTAAATGTTTTAGGATATGTTTCTTATTTTGTGAAATTTAAATATAAAACTTCTTAAAATTTTTGATTAGTGTGTTGTGATTTTAGCACTACATCAAATATTGTTTTTCTACAAGAAACTCATCTTGTTGGGGATTTGATTCTTGGTTTTTGTTGTTGTTTTTGACTATAAGTGACATTTCTGTCTAGTTTTTCAAACAGTCAGGATTTTTAATGCGCCACTCCTGCATCCAAAATCTTACATCACTTTAATTGTTCCTGCTTTGCTACACTTCTACTTTTATAAGAAAGCTTAGTAGAAACAGAACATTATTAAGTAATTAAATAAGACAAAAATAAATTGCTCTACGTTTTAACTTGTAAATGAGATTTATTTTTAAAATCCATTTCCTAATTTATTTTTTTCATGACTTTTAGTACTCTACACGGTTTTCTGTTTCTCAAATATTTTTGTGTGTGCTATATGTTGTTAAACAAACAAATACCCCCAGTCATTTATATTTTTGAATTGTAATGCATATTTAACTTAAGGATATTCTAAATCAGCATTCCAACAACCTGTTACTCGTAGTGCAACTGAAACATTTCTATAAACAAGGTAACAAAAATCCTCTTTTAAAAGAAAATAATTCATTCAATAACACAGCTTATTTTTTATAAACATTAAGAGTAAGAAACTTGACAGTTTTATTTTCTCAACACACATTTCTAAATTCTGTGCCCACCTTTTCCAAATTCTGTGCATTTTTGTTCTTGAAATATTTGTGATTTGTTAGTTTTTCAGAACTATATTAAAAAGTATCCAATTATATTTGTGACATTATCTGTTTGTAATACAAGAAGCATGTAAAGTTAGCAACCCTTTCAAGGAATGGGTAAAATAAAACCTTATGTTTCTAAGTAGTTATAACAACAATAGTAGAATCAATAATGATGATCAATGTTTATCCCAAAAAGGTTGGGGTTTTTGTTGTTGTTAAACTACTTTTACAATGCTGCACTCTTTCTTTTAAACACAAAAATGTAATTCAGTACTTCCAGTGTCAAGACTGATTCTTCTCATGAAAGGCCTTCAATACTTAAAGAAAAATAGACTTTCCCTCTTAAAATTAAAAATATTCCATTGCAGGTTAAATTGCTTTTTTGCCTATTTGAATAAACCATATTTAGAAGATAATTTAATTATCTTTTATAACAGGAACCAAAAATACTCCTTTTGGTTTGGAACATTTAGAGTTCTTGAATTGGGAGATACTCATAACATATATGTATATATTTATAAGTATTCCTATCCTATCAACTTTCCATGAGCAATTATACAATATTATATTATATGGCTTGCAGCTTTGAAATTTTATTGTAGGATTGCTTGTGGAAAGTTAAATAACAATACCTCATTGATATGATACCTCTAAAATCTAAATTTGCAATTACAATATATACTACTTAAAATCATCATCTACAGTTTGGCAAATACAAAACTGTTCCAGTTCCATGAGGAAATCACTGCAAGTACTAAGGCAAAGCTGAGCACATTTACTGGAAAGCATATGTAAAAACCTGCAAATCATAAACTTTACCAACCCAAATATACTTTCCAAAACGTTGCTATCTCTTTGTAGCTATATCTTAGTAACCAGTTCCCCTTGCCTGTAGAATGCTACATGGCAAACCTTTCACTAACTGATACTGTAACTGTAAAACTTTTCCTCACTGTTAGGAACACAGTTTTTGACATTTGCCACCAATTGATCTAGCAGCACAAACTCTTCCCGTGCCTGCTTCTTTCCTCTCATTGCCTGTGCTCTCTTCCAAGGCCGCCGTGAAGCTTTCAAACTATCTTTTCCTGCCATGAATTCCTAACTTTATAAATTCCCCTCACTAGCCATCTGGCTCTATGCTAAGAGGCAAACAGTTACTCCAACAAGTGCCTAGTCATCAGCAGCCCCCCCATCGCCTCCTGCCTTTACTCCTGGAGGCAGCATTGGCACCACTTTCAGTTGAGTTTTGCTAGTTTCTTACCTCAGGGCCTTCATCCTCTCTTCCCTCCCACCCCACTTGCTGTAGTTTTTCCTGCAGCTGCAAGCACAGACTGACTGTGTGTGCAGGGGGCTCTCGCGGCAGCTCGCTCCCTCCCTCCCCCCGCCCGTGAGTGTGTTCCAGGCGCCTCCATGCGCCCAGGCTCTGCCGGGGGCTGTTTGTCAGGTAAAGAAGTAGCCGGCCTTGATCCGGTAACTCGTAGCAACCGCATACCCTAGCAACAGCGGGGGAGGGGTGGAAAAGGGAGGGGAGGGAGACGCAGCAATTTGCAGCTTCTCAGCCCCAAGAGCCAGAACCCCAAAGTCTCATGCATGAGATCTGGGTCTAGACACCCACCCGCCCCCACTTTAAAAATACAAAAGCACCAGGAGATGCTGGAGGAGGGGGGGGCGGAATCCAGCAGCACCCCCCTCAACCCCTAAGAAAGCAGAGTTTGGAGGGGGTGCCTGGGGCGCTCTGCAGGGATCGGACATTTTCAGGGCGCTGTTGATTTATTTTTAAATGTATCCGCCCCCCCCCTTTCCCATGAATGTAAAACAAAAGGCTGGGAGGGGGGTGCGTGCGTGTGAGCCAGGCTGTGATAATGGGATGCTGCAGGAGCAGGAGGGAGGCTGCCTCTATTGCCAGTCACTGGGCTGATGGAATTCTTTGTTATGCAAAAGCCCAGGCGGCTGGGCTCCTCCGGGCAGGCTCCGAGCCAGGGGAAACGTACGTGTGTGTGTGTGTGTGTGTGTACAGAGCAAAAAGGGGGAGCCCAGGAGCGGCAGCTCGGAGTGCGTGTGATCCCAGAGGAGTGTGCCGGACCGGTCCCTTCGATTTGGGGTAGACTGCTCCTCGCTGCAGTTACATTTCAAATCCCAATCAATGCAATTACCAGAGCATGGCCAACACTTTCCTGTTTGCTGCCTTCAATATCCCCACCTTCCATCAAATCGTTATGGCTTTATCTAGTTGCAGCGACACTTGTGCCCCCATGAATTCTTTCCCCCAGGACTGGAAGGAACTGATGGTTTGTGAGGTGGTTTTATTTATTTTATTATTATTTTAAAGTAAAATAATAGCAGAATAACCGCTGTGCATTGCTCACATGCCAAGCCAATGCAATTTGGTCAGTCCTTCCTTTATATTAGATTAGAAAACCTAGTGCCTGCAATGAGAGTGCGGAGCCTGAGACTCAGCTGGGAAGAGAGCATCGCCTCTGTGCAAGATGGGGAGACTCTATCCTGTCTGGGCATGGGGCAGGCACTGCTTCCCAGCGCTAAGTTTGCCTGACCCTATCGGGCCTAGAGATCTCTTGGTACCTCTGTGTGTAATGCACCTAGCGGCCGGAAGGAGGCGCTGCCAGGCAGAGAGCCCGCACGGGTAGATTGAACGAGTTGAGAGCAGAGCTCAAAACTGAGCCGCCGCCACCTTCCCCTCCCCGGGACATTCGACTCCAGCAATCTGCTCCCCAGCCCCTCTTAACAATGCACTAAATCTCTGTGGTGGGTGACAGGGCCCTTCTGGTTTGTATGGGACTCGCCCAAGAGGTGGAGATTACAGAATATGTACCAGAGAGAGAGAGAGCTTAATGAGTTCATTGCATTTCCCACTCACTCACTCTCTCACACACACACACACACCCCTTCCCAGACCTGGGCATCTCTTTGGCCAAGGAAAAGGATCCATTGCTATAAAATACATATAGATCCACCTTCCCCATGTGCAATGGCAGTTATTGCTGGGGTGTTAGATTGTGTGAGGCAAGACAATGGGTTTCTGAGGGGCCCACTCCTTAATTCCTCCCCTTCCCCTCCCACACACAGCAGCTCTAAGCCCTTTAATTAATTTATTTTTTTTAACTAAAGCAATTACAGAAAAGTGCAAATCTAATGCGTGACATTTAACACTTCGCTGTGGCAGGCAGGCTGCCTTTAAATGGGGCCCTTTCTGCGGAACAACAAGAGCCAAAAGGCCCTGTGTCATGGAGTAATGTAAGACACAATCTTGCCTGCAAATGCACAATGAATCGGGAAGGATTTATGTAATTAATTGACCAGTCTTAACCTGTTATCGTGATGTAAGGAATTTGGAACTCATTAATTTGGGCCCTGACAGATTTCATATTAGAGCTGGCAAATATGGATTGAACCTCTTATTCTTGCAGCAGCTGGAATTTCCATGACAGTGAGGATTAGTGAAGAAGACCTATTGCTGGAGTCAAACTGCCTCTTTTGTAATCAGCAGCCCTGCTCTGCATTAAAGGGATAATGGGTGATAGGGGAGACAAAAAAAGTGTGTGTGTGTGTGTCGGGGTGGGGGGGGGGGGGGGGGAGATATTACCCTGGTGGTATAGGGAAGAGTGGCCCTTTTGCTCACTCTGCTAATATTTATATAAGTTCCAAGCATTTGCAGCTGAATGAAAACCTTAATACCAATCATAATGAGAGTGCAGCTACCTGGAGCTAAAGGGAGAGGACAAGGCCACAGGCTGAAGATGTTCTGGGGGAAGTTTAAGGTTTAAATGTGAGGAGGCAGACGTTTCTGCAAAACATTCTCTGCCTGTAGCACAGAGCCTGAGAGTCAAAGGCTGCAGAAGCCAGGAGATTCTAGGTTTAGGCCAAAAGAGAGTTGGTGCAATGCTTTAGTTGTAAGTGAGCACAACAGGGCAACTCATAATGGAGGCTGGCCTTCTCTGGAGCACACTTACTGTCTCCTAGACAGTGGGCTACACACAGTCTTGTGCAAAAATAATGAATCTGTTGAGGTGCCTGCACTTTAATATGTGCCCTAGTCCCTCTGTGCAGAATTTATGAGTCATCTCTTCAGCAGTGTGGAAAGGTGGTTTTATGGTTAAGGGATTGGATCAAGAGATCTAGGTTAAATTTCTGGCTTGTCCACAGACTACTGGTGTGACCTTAGCAAAGCTTTTAATTCTTCTGTGCCTCCGTTTCCAATTTTAAAATGGAGGATAATAATACTGCCTTTCCCATCCTTTGTCTGTTTTCCCTATTTAGGGACTGTCTCTGACTATGTGTTTGTACAGTGTCTGGCATAAAGAGGCCCCAATCTCCATTGTGGTCTCTGGGCACTAATGTAATAATAAGGTATCCAGACTCCAGCTTATATCTGGAAGGAAACAGTCTTAGACATTTCTTCCTTTTTTCTGGTTTCTCTACTTTGTGCATTTGACTGCAAGTTGTATCTAGTCACTTTCAGTGGTTCCCTGGCATAGTGACTGCACTAGATCTCTCTTTTATTTGTGTGGATCTTCTGCACAATAGCAAAAGAGAGAGAACAGCATTAAAAATAGGCAAATATGGCGGTGAAACCACAACATTTGGCAGGGGGCAAATGTGGTACCAAAAATACAGTCAGATTTGTGCTCTTTAAGCAGATCTATGATTAATTATGCATTTGGATAGTGCCTAGCACAATGATGGCCTTTAGACTGCCCATATAAATGTCAGATAATAATACTGATAATAGGCTTAACTCATTTTATTTAAAAAAGACCAGATTGCAAGTTGATCATACCCCTTTAAAGTGTATCTTTTTATTGCTTCCCGATAAATTAATCTTAACATATGCCATGGAGACCTTATTTATCCACAGGTAAGACAACATTTATCTTTTACAGATTTACATGAATCTGTCCTAACAGTCGCTTCACTGATTCTGTACTTGCTGTTCTTAGTGATCAAGAACAGCAAACAGCTCAGTTTACACTGTAAGTATACATTTTACCAAATTTTTACTCTCATTAAGTGTTGATCAAGCGTAACTAATTTCCTTGTTAAATTAAATGTGCTGGCATATGGTGAAGCTTCACATTATTTAAAAACAACAAACCAAAGCATGTTTAAGATTTTGTTTATTTGTAGGTCCTGTATTTTTAAGTATTTTCATCCTCTTTGATTCTTTCAGGTGAACAAATTCAAAGTATGAATCATTTACATTCTTTACATAATATTATCTGGTATTTTGTATGCTTGCAAAATGAAAGTTAGTGGTTATTATTAGTAAGAGTGAAGGTTTTTGCAAGATATATGTTGGTTAAAAAAACAAACATCAAGTGTCATAGAAACTTTAAGATCAGATTTTTATTTTGTTCTGAGATGATTAACATACAATGCAAGGCAAAAACTGTGTATATTATAATTCAGTATAGTCAAACCTTCCAAACTAATTCATTTTTGCTTCAGATATTTTGTACCTGAAGAATACAAACATATATGACTCATTAAAAGTTTAGTTTATTTATAGAGGGTAAATACAAATTTCTGCCTAGACCCGATGAAGGATGAAATGGTGGCCCCATTGAAGTCAATGGCCAAACTTCCATTGATTTCTGTGGGGCCAGGATTTCATTCAAATGGTGGATTGTTACCGTTATTTTAGTATCATCTTGTTTGCTGCTTACGCTCAAGTTGAAAAAGTCCCCTTTCCTACATGCAACTTAGGTTAAAATTATGTCCTCTTTGAACCAACAGGTGGCCTTTTTTGAATGTAGTTAATTTTTGCCTGTACACCGATGAAAGTCTGATTTGAGCCTATCAGGATGTATTTTTATTTATGCAAAATATGGCAGGCAAACTTTTGATTATTTTGTTTTCTAATCTGTATTGTAATGCAATTGATTTCATGTAGTAAACATTTTTAGATGTCTACTTTTTCTCTAGGTCCTGGTTCTTGAATGTTGGATAATAAATAGTAATGATGAGTAAGGCTGTAAACACCATTCTCATTTCTGTTTCTCATATTTCTACTCTCAAGTTACATCTATCTATGCTCTTCACTGCAGTGTATAGCTACCCATTGTTATCCTAAGATCATCCCAGTGCCAGAGGGCAAGGATCTCAGTGGTATCAGGTAATGAATTTCAGCTGGCCTGATCAGTTCAGTGTACCCCAACTCATTATGGTTATAAATGGTATCTAAAAGGTATAATGTAATATGTCATTGGAAATCTAATAACTCACTGATAATTAATATTCTTGTGTGATGTATGTTGTGGTGTGTATTAAGAGTTATGGACATATGCT